ATTTTTTATTTCACGGGTTAAATGCCTTCACTCTAGTATACTGATGCTCTTTTTATTTATTTATCTGCCCTGCACAACCCGTGGTTCACTAAGGTTCTGCGCACTATGTTGATGGCCTGGAGGATTTGAACAATGCAAATGTCCAAATCGTGTATCCAGAGCGACTCCATCATCGTACGCGACGAGACATCCCAGCTGGAAATACAGTTAGTAAAGCTTTTAGCTCTAACAAAACTCGTAAACTTAACATATCTTTTCCAGTCAAGTCCAGGCTTATCATAAACTGTTTGAACGTGATTTTTTTTCCAGCAGAAAAGCTATGATGAAGCAAGGTTTCGAGTTAAAGCATTTGGCAAATCTCTAGTCCTCGATGTCATTCGAAACGAGTGAGTTTGAGATCAAGGTTCAAACCCGGAGGGGGTACTCCGCCAGAATTTGGGTAGGGGTGTTCCGCTGGGATTCTGAAAGGGGTACCCTGTTTATGACAAAAAAAAATCAAATTTGTAGACCCTGTTTATGACAAGAAGCTTGAGAAACCATACCCTGTTCAGCGGATCTTCCATGTATAGTCCATATATGGGAGTACCCCCCCCCCCCCCCGGGGGGGATTCAAATCATAATTCCTTTTAAAAACGTACCGCTATACATTTACGATTATCCCGGTTTTCTCCAGGGCTATGGTCTCAGAGGACTTCTTTATACGTTTATATAATCAAGAAGGAAAACAAATAGATAAAAAGGTTTGAATTGAATTATCAGTTTTAAGGAAAATAATGCGTTGAATTAGAAGTTTAAGAATCTTAATGCTGCTTAACCTAAAATCAGTCTTCAGGTAAACAATGTCACTATCAAGGTCATATTGAAGGTCATCCCGAATCATCTGTGATGCTGGATACGTGTGACGGTATCAGGTAYGTATAACATAGCCACGATATGACGATCGCTCTAACTGGTTATTCTACTGGCTAATAGCCTGAATAAACACTGCGACGTCTTTTGGTAGGGGAGCGAATGGACATATAAAAAACTGATGTCTTTGTTATTTACAATAACAAAAACGATAAAAACTTCTCATTTTTAGCGATCAAAACAACCAACGGAAAGAGCGCGCGCTCGTTGACATCAGMTTTATCTGTCTGTCCTCTTATTGATGATGAAAAATAACCAATCAGCGCGCGAGAAATTTGTAAGTTATTGTAAAATTGTGCTTGCTCAATATTTTTGGGGGGATTTAAGCAACCCCTCCTGAATGGTCCATCCCTAAATGGCTTAATGTTAATGTGTAAACCAGGCCAAACCATGGTGGGTCATAATTATTTTTTCTTTTTTTTTTAGTGGAATAATAGAAGATGAGAGCGAAACTTTTTCGATAATGCCATTAAGAGCAAAGGTACGCATATACCTGGTCAAAAAAAGTTGTCATCGCCACAGACGATAGACAATAGGCGATGCATGGGCGCGGAAAAGCGATAGGAGATAGGTCATTCCAAGATCAAGAATAGCTGGAATGACTTGTGTTTCTGCTTCTTATTCTCGTCAAGAGCATGGACCTTAGTGTTGCGACTGATTCAATGTCCTTTGTATTGAACCAAAGCATTTCCGTCTCGGAATGACCTACCGCCTATCGCCTTTGGCGACGACATCGTTTTTTTTTTTTTTGTTGAAATAGCTGTATAAAAAACAGATGTAATAATATAGATGCATGAGTTGAAATGAATCCTAATTCCATTCATTTATTTTTTATTATTTTTAAGGGTTTGAATGCGCATCGAATAATACGAACAAGAGGATCAAAGACTTCAGACTTTACACAAGACTTCAGTTGTGGTATATTAGCCGAGAACTTGTAGAACGCGTTGCATCTTGGAGATATTTTAGGGAACGCTTTCATAGTCATATAACCTGGTTCTTACTAGCGACACAACCAGGTGATCTGAGGAGAAAAAGTTAGCCAATCAGAATCGAGAAAATTTACAAAACAGAGGTTTTGTAAATTTTTGCAACCACCAAAAGAAAAATAAAATACTGATACGCGCTTGATAATAGTGACACAATAATTCGTGAGTTTTATATTTTTATTCCAAAGGCGGGCATGTTTTTTTACTTTCGCTGATTAATTTTCGCAAGCTTCGTGACACTTCAGTTTTGCAGTGACGTCATTTCTACGTCACTATTTCAGATCGGCTGAAAGCCGACGCAAACATTAGCATAAGCACAAGCCAACGCAAKAAAAACAAAATCCTTCGTTCTCTTGCGCTTGCGTGAAATTGCGTCTGCTAGCATTAAGCTCCGTTTACACTGGCGATTTTTGCTGCAATTTTTGTGGCAATTTTCGAAAATATGAAATCTTTTGTCTCATCCTTCAAAAGAGACATTCGTCTAGGAAAATCTTGGTACCCTGAAAAAAACTTTACAAGTAAATTCTTTACCATTATTTGTTATGGACAAAACCGCAAAAAAATCGCAGCAAAAATCGCMGCAAAAATAGCCAGTGTAAACTGGCCTTAAAACGTTAATTGTCGTGTAAATTTTCCAAAAAATTCGTTTTTGATGCATAACACGTGAACTGGCTGATGAAAACGTCCCTCAAAATGCCCCACAATGCAACGCATTCCTAAAATTCCGGGAAAGCTTATCAGAATTATACTATAACTTAATGCTTTACTCTTATTTCCTTTCATCAATACTCAAATGTTCTTAACTGTATTCTTTTCGCATACATTTTTTCAAAGGTACGAGCTCAAGAAATTCTACCAACGATGTCTCTACCAACAATGTGAAGAAGAGATTCGGCGATAGGGTAACATAACCCATGTTTATTGAAGGAATGTGTTCTTACACGAGAAAATAAATTTAATTTATCTACATATTATATTTCTTAGATTCGTCGTTCCTTAGCTATTGACCCTCTTTTCCGCTCGCACATTCCTGTTAACAAGACACGTTATGCGGAGCTTATTATTATCGTTGACAAAGTTATCGTAAGTACAACTCTCTGAGCAATCCAACTAAGGGACGGAGCATGAGCAAGTGAGAGGGGGAAGGGTGCAGGGGGAGAGTCAGTTGAAATCCCCAAAAATATCGAACAAGCACTTCACAGCCCCAAAACTATCGTACAACTTCTCTTTTTGGAAAAGAAATATCGAGCAATCACAAAAAGAAATTACGTGCAGGGATTGACGGTCAAATAAAATAAAGTAAATAAAAAGTAAAATAAATATCGTGCAACATGCAAAATAAATTCCTCCTTGCATCCCCCCTCCCGCCACAATTATCTAATAGTCCATCACTAATTATATATCAGGATTTTCCCAAGTCTAAATCAGTGTTTTCTCGATCTACAGTTATAAGCAGCATGCATTTATACTAACTAAATAAAGAAAAGAAAAAACATACCTTTATAAATGAACTTGAACATAACATTTTAGCAGCATTTTTTCAATCTAGAAAAACAATTAGGTTGGTGCGTTGGTAATGTATAGTTGTTTGCAAATAGTCTACGATGAATCTTTTTCTTTTTCTTCTTTGATTTGACAGTACGATAAGTATGGTAGAAATACAAGTGACGTACAAAGAAGAATATTTGATTTAGTCAATGCTATCGATATGGTAAGCTTGCTTGTAAAATGACCTGGATACCTTCGGGACCAGCTCTTATAGTGTCTGCCTTAATTAGAGAGGTTTACGTCTTAGAGGAAGCTGTGCGATTTTACTATTCTATCAAACGTTATGCACTAGCGCAGCGCACTGATTCTAAAAATAGCTTAAAGATTCGGACAAACATTGCATTCTGTTTAACCGCTACGAGGATTATACGAACCGATTTTATTATTTTTACTTAAAGTTACAATAATAACCCATGTAAACTAAGATCAACTGCGATCGGCTGACAGTGAAAATTATCTGCTGTTAGAAAGTAAACTTGTAAGTTTTTTTGTCCAAGAATTTCGCCTTTGTCTTCGTTTTTATGACGTCACGGTTGCGCTGCGCTATTGATTATGTTGACAAAAACAATGTCATTATTTTCTGTTTGAGCAAACCTCGCTTCTTGGAGGCGAGTAGGAAAAAACGCAACGATTTATCATAATCTATCATATGTTTTATCCCAAGCAAATGTTTTAAGGGGTATTTCCGACCCTATAATACACTCAACAAAATTACACGATTCTGATTGGACAAGAGGAGTACAATTAAATCCCGAATTGTACTCTGTAGAGTCCCAATTAAGTTTCTCAATTTTGTTGAGTGTACTATAAACAAAAAATCGCACAATCTTCTCATACAATTCAGAATTTATAGATGTTTTGAAAGTTCGCCTAAAGGCTCGTCCAATTTTGAAAATTTTCAAAACATGTTTTCATAGATCTACCAGAAGATCAACATCCGCATTGTCATCAAAGCGTTAGAGATATGGACCCACAAGGATTTGGTACCGTTTAACGAGAAAGCTGGCGAAGATCTTAATAATCTACAAAAATACAGAGAAAAACATGTAGACAAATACGAATGCGATGTTTTGCACCTCTTGAGGTAAGATAAATATGTACGAATTATTAATGTGCGTACTTACTTATTAATGGAATTCTTCAACGATACGACGGCCATCTAGCCAGGGGACAAAACAAAACGAAGATGACGGATAATATATATAGTTTCGTGTGCTTGTCTTTCTTTTCTGGGTAAAGGCGATCGATGTGCCGTCTTAATTCATCTTTTGTTGTATTCTCTTGTGGTGAGCTGTTAATATCAATCAACGTCATTACTGTAACGAAGCTTTATTTGCCCCCTGGATATCCCACAATGCCTTGCAATCCAAGATGGCCGCCGTACTGTCGAAGTAGTCTAGAGACCTGTCCGTTTCATTATATAACTGAATGAACCAATGAGCTTTTAGTTCAAGGATTACTCATGATTCTTTCGATCAAAAAATGTGATGACGTAAAAATATGATACTTCTAAGTCGRTAACATAGTCCTTTCTGAGATAGTGAACATGGTTCATCGTGGTTAAGGTTGGGTGCAAACGTCTTTTGTTCATAATGCCTTGTAGTTATATTTGCATTTATCCTTTAGGTCGTTCAGTGTTGAGCATATGATGTCAGTCTAAACAAATAAGAGTTTCCAAAGAAACTAAATTAATAAACGTTCGACATTGCACCCTTAAATGCAGCCAGTGGAGTGGCTAGTTTGGTGTTGTTTGTATCTGATCTAGACCACAATGAATTCTGTTTATGGAGCTGTGAACAGTCCTAAGGCCGGGAAAATTTTGGTAGGAAAAAGGGGGCATGTGCAAATTTTGGAAGAAGCTACAAGCCTTGCTTAGGGGGGATCGTATTTTTTCGCATGACCTTAAGGGGGGTGTTAAGAATTATTCTGGACATTTCAACTTTTCACCTGGCCCCCCTTCCCCCTGCCATACATTATGAACGCAGCCTAAGAGCTTTTGGTTTGATTGTGTTGATCCAGGGGCAGAGAATGGGCAGACCACGGAGGAATGGCCTACATGAGGGAAATGTGTACTATTAGATCAACTGGTGTTGTTGGGGTGAGGACAAACGCTTACTCCTTTAATATTAAGAGAAAAGAGTAAATGGTTTGAAACCAGGTCTTGAAGTTTTTTGTGAAGTGTGATCATCCAGGTGAGTGTAGTCTTGAGAAAGACTGTTGTTGGTGGTGACTGACACTTCGACAACTTGAGTGGAAGTCATCTTTAGAGTCCAGTAAGAAAACGAGACACGGTCGATGGTATTTACACCTCTGGTTCCTTGAATATTATACCAAGGGACGGATCATTAGATAACTGAGGAGTTGTGTTCATTAGAAGATTCTAGAATAATGTACGAGTAATAGAAAATTCTAGAAAGTTCTAGACATTGATAAGTTTCACGCCTAAAGTCATGTATAAGTTTATATTCCAGAAAGCTCTAGAAAATTGTTAAAAATAGGTATGATGTAAGTTACTAAAATCCTTCAGAACAAGTTGCGAAAACCCTCCCCAAAAAATATCAAGCAAGCACTTCTCCTACAAAAAAATATCATGCAGCCTGTCCTTTCAGTAAAGAAATATCGAGCAAAAAACAAACAAACAAACAAACAAACAAACAAACAAAAATTGTGCTCAGGGGTTGTTACAAAAAATAAATATCGTGCAACATAAATTCCTGTAACCTCCCCCTTAATTATCCAATGGTCCATCCCTGAGGATGTTATGGTCTGGTATAGGATCATCATCGAATGTGCGGCTTAGCTTAGAATCAAACCCGCTACAACATGCATGAACTAGACTCACACACGCACAAAACGATGCAAACTATTGGGGTTACTTTTATTACACTCAATGAATTTCAGCTAGGCCCTTCTATATCGAATTAGATTTAAACGTTACTTTTGGCGCTATGAGAGACAGCTCCTGAGCAGCGCGTTTACCTTTTTAGAGATAGTTCAACATTTTTTTTTTATTGATTGAAGTGGAATGAATGGAGCATTGTTGGTCCTTGGATAGCTCTAGCTCACGAAATGGGTCACAATTTTGGCTTTGACCACGACGACCGTGAGTACACTATGTTAAATCGCAATGTCTGATGGGTTCAAAAGGTGGAATATTAACTATTAGTAAAAATACGCAGGTGATTATAGAAGATCTCGCGCGCTGATTGGTCGAGAAACTCACACTATCACACGATAATCACCYCSAGCGAWAATCCAAAATGGCGGCCAGCCGCTTTGTTGCTGTTACCGGGAAAAAA